TTATTAAATTAATAACAAATCTAAAATATTCCAGTTTGACCTGGAGCTCCATTGTACTGGACACAAGTACATCCCAAGATGCAACAGGCAGACATAAAATTTGGTTACAGTATCATGTTTGTAACTAAGTATTTAGATGGTTGAACAATATGTTGTGTCTTCAATGAACTATTATTAGACAGTAGTAATTACATTCAGCCAACTAGACAATACTTAGCCATCTTCAAGTATAGGTTGAAAACTGTAAAGCGTGTCCTGAAATTTTATTGATGGATTGCAGCTTCAGGAAACATGATGTCTATGCCTTTCAGCCATTTATTGATTCAAACTGACACATCTGTGTGCATTGTTCCTGTGAAAGATCATGCTCGGTGAAACAGACACTATTAAAACCAGCAAATTACTAAATTTAAGGAACCAAGGTATTCTACACAGGGTATTATATTGTTCAAGGTACCCCAGTATTCTATGTACCAGAAAAAAAAACTTTCAGGAGTACCTTTGCACACAGCTTTGAAGAGTTTTGCATGCATTGTAAGATCATAATCAGGATTTATTTCCTTTCAGAGAAGCCAATCCATTCTGTATAAAGTAGAAAGCTACTCAGCATTATGATACTTGTAGTTCCTGCCCTCATGTATTAACTGCACATTTTGAAAAAACTGTCTGTAAATTCTACAGGAATCTAGCTTGCCATGGGCTTAGTGCTTCTTGATTTCCTGCTGCCAACATGCAATTAGACATCTCAAATACATCCAGTGCTTTTTCAATGACATCCAAGGATGTCATTGCTTCAGTTGCCAAAGGATGGGAGGAATCTTGACTTCCCTGAAGTGAACAGAAGACTTAACTTAGGTCAAGATATACAGCTATCAACAGCTGCTTAAATTATGCCTGGCCTTCTTCAAAGTAGTAGGTTATTCTGTGGTGGTTTTCCCACAACATATTGTAGCACATAGTTTCAAGTTAAATTCCACTTCAGGAATAAAGAAACTACAAAAACATAAATTCAGTATTTTATTAAAACAAGATTTTTTTCTGCTGAAAAATTAATAAATTAATAACTGCAAAACATAAGCAAGCAAGGAACAAAACCTTCACTTCCAGGCATGCCCAGATCAGGTACTACAGAGCTTTTTGAAGAAGATGATCAGGAATGCTCTAATTCATAGCATATAAACTATTAAAGACAAAAATTCTGGGATTTTAATTGCATTAGCAAGTGAGATACATTTTACTTTTCTTATTTGTCCCCAAAAGAACAACAGTTGAAACACTTTTATTTCAAAGTATGAATCCAGATTACTCCATTCTCAGGGCAGAGTTATCCTAGGAAAAAATAGAAGGGAAGACAGCTAAAGAAATCAAGAGTCACTCCTGTTTTGAACTCCTTCATGAAGCCAGCAGGCTCCCAAGCACATACACCAGCTTGTCCTCTGCACTTCAAATCAGGACACCATCCACTTCTGTTACCTGTCACTGATCTACTTGCAAACAAAAGATCCTATCCTGTATTTTAGCTCTTCACAACATTAAAAAAAAAATCCAAATGCATGATGGAGGAAAAACACAGAAATAACAGATCTGAAATTAAATGAGCTGAAGATAGAGCATCCAGCAACTGCACTGGACAAACTTGTAGTAACACTGTACTCTTACAAAGTCACATTGTGTCCAAATGAACACAGATAGAAGATACAGAGAAGCAGGTGAAAAGTTATGGCATCACTCAAGAGTACCACAAAGTACATTACCACAAAGTACAAGAACATGAAAACAACAAAACCACATTCTCATTTGGGCATAAATTTAGCATGAAAGTTAAACACAACTTCAGATTAAGTCATAGTCTCATAATAAATGCAACTAAATACTTCATTTTATCTGAGTCCCAGACAGGAGCACTTTCATACTACAATTACAAGAACATTGGATGCAAACTTGTGAGAAAGAATTAGAAAGCAAAAAATCCTATCATAAAAGGAACTGAAGAACTGCTGGGTGCCTCAGCCATTTAAAGTTTTGGGGACTTGCTATTCTATTTGGCTAGCACTTGGCACAGTATGAGTGTGGGTCACACTCAAGGTTCACAATACAAGTAAATAATAAAAATCAAGCTGCTTAGAATGAGATTGTTTTAAAAGGCTGAATGAGTACTTTGTAGGGGAGAAACATTTTTTAAATTATTGAATGTATAAAAAACAAAGTATGAACTTGCAAAAGGTCAAAATTACATCTGCATGGAAGAACCGATAACATTTTTCTCAACTATTATAAAATATCCTGCATCTAACTCAAACCAATTAGATTTAAAAAGCATTACTTCATTCATTTTTAATTCAGTTATCTTTTCTTAGAGTAAGAGATGCAAGCACACTGACAAACATCTTTGTTCACTAACATGAAAAAAGAAACAAAAACACTCCCTCAACCCTCCCATCAATTTCAGTAAGAAAGTATTTTGGGTTTCAAGTTTTCCATTGGTGTAGACTTCACAATCCTGTTTCCAAGCTTCAGCCATGCTGCTGGTGAAAAGAATGGCAACAATGTGCTATTCAATAACAGCGGCAGAATCTGTATCATTTATCTGATTGGAAGGTGTATGACTAATTCATCAAGACCCCAGAAACCTCTTTTCTCCATCACGCACATGATTTTTGAGTGTTTCTGCCTCTCTTGTTTTGCACATCTCTTAATCAATTCCCTTTTCCAAAGCAGCTTCTATATTTACTTCTCATATCTGTGTCCCCTCTTTTCCTAGCAGTCATTGAGCATGCACACAAGAGGCTTCCAAGCAGTCAGAAGTGAAGCAGAGAATAACATCAAAGCTTCCAATAGATCTTACTTTGACACTACCAAGCACAAAAATGTTTTCAGACATTAGGGTCTGACTCCAATTAAAAATAAAAAAATAAGTTACATTTCATTCTTGCTGTTCTGTTGTGGGTTTGGTGGGTTTTGTTTAGTTTTTCTGTTGTGTTTGTGTTGTTGGGTTTTTTTGGTGTTGGTTTTGGTTTTTGTTTGCTTTGTATTTTTGCTTTGTTTTGTTTGGGTTTTTTGTGTTTGTTGTTGTGGGTTTTTTTACTGAAAATATATAGCTACACTTTTATTTAAATACAATATATCTTTTCCTTTTAAAAAACCCACCCTGACAAAGGAGTCTATTATATAAAAAATAAATTAATAAAAAAATAATTTAAAAAATACATTTAAGTCTAAAAACATTAGTCATTCTATAGTCTTCAAGGTATTTTTATTACTCAAGGTTTGAAGGAAAAGTGCTGGAGAAACACAAGCATGCAATGAATCAGTATGGAGAACAGTATTTTTGGCTGTAAACAATATGCACTAGTGACCTTAAACCTTATTCACACACAAAACAATGCTCTTCTCGTGTACAACATTGTGAAAAATAAGATGGAAAAAATTAGATAGAAAAACATTCTTGTATCATAAAAATATGTTAGAATGGGAGTTATCTATAGTTACTTTAAAGCTTTGCTTTAAAACAGTCTTTATCTAAAAATTTTCTTTTGCTCTATCTAAAAATTAGCCTTTCTATAAAAACCATTCCTTTAAAACTTTGCTTTAAAAAAACCTGGTTTATATTAGATAAAATATTAAATTATACAGGCACAATTAGTTAAGAGGGCTACAAGAACTCATAACCCTTCATTTTCCAGTGACTTGCAATACAGTCATAAGATTCTGTGTCCACTGGCAACAACAGGACAATTTATCCATAGAAATAAACTTTTCTTTCTAAAACATGTTTTTTTTAATCAATAATCTGTCAGACCATACTTAACCTGTAAAGGAACCTAGTTACCAGCTCACTTAAGTGCATGCATATCTTTTATTTATCCTGGCACATATACTGAAAAAAATCCCCAAAATATTTTTCAACGAGTAGCTTATGATGACAGCTCTTCTATTTCCTTCAGATACAGTATATTAAAATAAAGCATTTCAAAGTCCACCTTTATCTTAATCCAACCAGTGACCCTTGAGACTTCAGAAAATTACTCAAGAATAATTTTGTTTTCTCAGGGGAAAATGCACAGATGTTATGTTCAATTGTAGAGAGAGCAGGGTCTGGTCTTTTTTATGTTTTTCTTGTGTTCTGAAAGATGTATTGTACAACTATTGAATTTGCAAAAGCCTTTAAATTGATTATATAATACACCAAACTGCAGATTTACAAATCAGAGCCCTAACTCTGATTATATTATTATATGCTTAACTTAATACAAATTAACAATTTATATTGGATTTTAAACGATAGAAATATCTGCAAGACTGGGGTTTAGATCTCCTAAATACAATAAATAAGCTGTCATCATAATAACTATTAAAAAACGAAACTTTAATCAAAACACTAGTCTTTTTTGCCATCAAATCATAGTAGTTAAAGCATCAGTGGCAAAACATGAATCACTATTGAATATAATTGAAATTCAACAAAATATTTTAAACAAATATTCAAATATCTGCTCAAGCAGATATTTGAACTCTAATACATTTAGTTGGATGCTGCTTAAGGTTTATTAAAATTTAGTTTAAAGTTTAAAAAGAAAGTTCCAACTACAGCATACAAAAATTTAACCAGCAGTGCACCCAATTAAAATGAAAAAGCACAGAAACTCAAACTCACTGCTATTTGTTTGCATTAAAACTTTTCCACACCCCCCCAAGGAATGTGAAATATACCTACAAACTTAATCAATCAGCTATTTTAAAAACAAACACACAACCCAAATCCTTAACCTGTATTTCTTCTGGAATTTGAGATTTCACTGTAGCCACCACTAGTTGAACAGTGCCCTAGAGACACATCTCCTTACCAGCATGGGCCATTATTGCTTGATGAGAACCCAGTGACTTTTTCTTCAAAATAACTGCTTTGTACATAGTTCCAGGAAGTATGGCTTTCTAAGTGCTTTTCAACTCAACTGCACAACTTCTGCAGCTTTACACAGTACAACAGTGCAACACATTACATTCCCATATTCCAGGAACAAGAGCTGAGTTTACAGTTGTACGTTTCACATCAGACTTGTTTTGCACTTTCGGCAGATCTAGCACTTCAACTGTTTCATCTATGACTTCCTTTTGTTCCCTTTCCTTTTCCTCAATTTTTTCCAGGTGCTGGCTATAAAAAAAAAGAAAAAGTTCTTTTGGTAGCTAGCTCTCACCTAGTAGAACAAGACATTTTTTGTAGTAATGGTACAGTAGAAGTGCTTCTAGAGGGTTGGTTCACAGTGCCAGGGTGACTTTGATCTGTACTTATTTCCCACTTCCTGATTTCGGAAGAAGCTCCCTCTGGCTTCTTTGGGAAAGATTTGGACATGACTTTCTGCCTCTTTTCAGGAATCCCTGTGACAACTGTTGAGTTCAGAAAGGTCCGTTTTGGTTTCCTCCTCACCTTTAATTTTTTCGCATCAGGCTTTTCTTTCTTAAGGTGCTTTCCCACTGTAGTTTTCCTTGTCTGGCACCTACAGATGGAGAATGCAGATGATTTCTGGGAATGAGAACGAAGTTGCCTTCTCATCCCCTCTTTTTGTTGTTTTTTAGTTCTGGAAGGTTGCTTGCCTGTGGTTACTCTGTTTCCTCTCCTCCCAACAGCACATCTGACAGACATAGGTCCTGCAGCCTTTCTGGAAAAACCTGGTTCCTTATTAGTGCCTTCTTTTCTCTTCCATATTGCCTTTGGACTCTCCCTCTCTAGCTTCTCACTCTTGATGGAAGTCAGAGGAGTTTTGGTAACTCTGCTGTTAAATGGAGTTAATCTAACATCTGCTTCTACCGCAGACTGGTGAGAGTTCAAAGGTGAAATGATTACATGTTTAACAGAGTTCTCAGAGTGACCAGATACCAGACAATCTGTTCTTTCTGTGCAAACAGAAGACCCATATGCCTTTTGACTGGAGGCTGCATCATTCCCTTTACCTGGATCTGGCAGAAAAGATGCTGAAGATGAACTATAGAGGTCTGAGCAATCAAGTGACTTTGACGGTGTGCTTTCTCTCTGTGTGTAATTTAATTTCCTCATGTTTGCATCGAAGCTGAGACTTCTGAAAAGCTGTCGAACATGGGAGGGCTTTTTGGCTTTTTCTCCAACTGTACTCTTCGGTGGCATTTTCAGAATTCTATTTGTCAGTGGGTCATAATACTTAAAAGTGCACTGTTTGTATTTGTACCTTACAGAGTCCTTGCTTTCTGTGGAGTTCCGCTTTTTTCTCATTTTGGGAGTATCTATAGGTTTGCCTTTACACTGTTTTACCTCTGGGCATGAAAGTACATACACCACTGTCTTGGGCTGTACAGGACTCATAATCTTGCTATAGGACTCAGGAAGTTTAAGGGCACATAGTCTAGTTTTCATGTTTGGAGTTTTTTCATTCTCTGGCCACACAATGCTTGCTTTCTGATCAGCTGGATCAGATTCCCTTCTAGACATTTTTCTTTTTGCTACAGGGTAGTTCAATAAACTTGTTTGGGTGCCATGGCTGACTTTAACCACCTGGCATCTTGAAGCCAGGCGCCATGTCCTTTTCCGAGGCATTTTAAGAACTTGTGGGTTGCATAGTGTATCTGAGGCTAAAGATGGGTTATCAAAATCAGAGTCACCACTTAAAGCATCTTTAAATTCTGGCAACGCTTTAACTGATACACCTTCTGTTTTAGTAGCCCCAAGAATATTTTTATGTTTTTCATCCTTCTTTTTTTTCTTCATTCTCTTCCCTGTACAGTTGGCTGAGGATTCACTGTCGAAGTAGCAGCGAAAACGACCTTCCCTGAAATCACGTACAAGTTCTTCAATTTTTATATCATCTTCATACATTATTTGAGACCAAGTCTTTCCCACAAAAGAAGGAGGCACATGAGGCAGAGCTGGAAGAACTGGTTCTTCAGTATGAACTACAACACCCTGTTTCACTGCTTCTGTTTTGTCTATTGACTTATTTTTTAAAACAGAAGAGAGTTGCATTTCATAGTCTTTATCTTGCAAGCCTATTTGGACCTCTTTTAGGAATTCTATATCTTTTATAGCTGCCTTGGGTAAGTCCACTCCTGACTGAATAGGTGCATCACAGTCAAAACTCATTTCAGAACCCTCTAAATGAGTATGGTCCAGAAGTGATGAAAAAGTTAAACAGGGATTATTCTCTTCTTTGAAATAATTTTTTTTAGATGTATTTCCATGGCAGTATTTCAAAATAACATCTTCAATAGTTTCATCCACTGTACTTTCATAATCTCTGTTTGCCTTCATGTTTTTGCATCTTGCTAGTTGTGGGGAAATCCCAAGATGTAGGGAGCTCCTGATACTCCCAGTATCCCTGAGATGGAAATCAGACACCAAAGTTTCATCCTGAGTTTGCAAACCATCTCGTTTCGAGAGAGATTGACCTGAGGTAATACATAAAGAATTGCTGTGGCTGCATATAAGATTCTGATGAGAAACTGAAGGGTGTTTTGGGTGAATTAGTGCTGGAGGAATCAAGCATGGGTTCAATAACACATCACTCCTGCATACCTTCATTCCTGTTTTATCACATCCACTATGCGGAATCAGATTTGATGCTGCCAAATTCCTAACATTTTTTCCTGTTTTAGGATTAACAGAAGAACTACGGATTAAAGGATTTACAGAAGAATGCTGGGGTACAGAGTTTACAGCTGTAAACTGGCCTCCATAGCTATGATTTGCAGTTTGAGTATCTTTCATGGTATCCCATTTCTTGTTGCTACAAATGCCCACAAACTGCTGTGATGGTCTTGTAACACGTTCCTGCTGCCTTTCTAGTTTTTTAATACATGCTTGTGCTACAGACGTTTTCTTTGTGCCCTCATGAGACACGCATGGAGCAGAAGAGCTTATTTCACCAAAAGACTCCCGGTCTTTGCTGGAAATTTCCTGTCTGCCTCTGGTCCTCTTTTTCTCCATCTCTTCTGGGGACAGGCAAGCAATTCTATCAGCCTCTGGAGTGATGGGGAGTGGCATGTCATCATAGGTTGGCCTAAAGAGGAAAGAAAAAAACCCCACTTCATATAAATACTGTAAATATGCTTAAGATTTGTCAAGCAATAGTGATTTTAAAAAAAAAAGAGTAATTACCTAGAGTGCATCACACCTAATGGACAAATTCAAGACACCAGCTCTGCTACTTTAGCAGAGATACTCCATTTCAAAAAGGGTGGAGGGGGGAACGTTCTACAGAGCTAAAGATAACAATTCAGGCATTAGTTGGTTACCCTGTTCATGCAACCAGCCATTAACAACAGCCAAACACAATAATTGCAATAATTTTATAAATACAGAAAACATGAAAGAAATAAATGTATTTCCTTTATTTGAAGTTGTGAGCTTATAAAGAGGTTATTTCACTGGTAAAACTATCATTAATTAATATTGAGCTTTTGTAGAGGAACAGAAATTATAATATGGCACAGTGTAAAAATACTATTGAGTATAAATGCCCCTTTCCCTACAAAATGTGCCTGCCTGGTACAAACTCTACACGTTGCCAAGGAATTCCATGCTTACTGTTTCTCACAGACATACAACAGCTTCTGACTCACTTCTATAAGAAGCCAAGCTATGATTGTTCAATTTCACTGTGATAACAGCAGATTTGTATATATTCTGTAACTGGCAGTTTTGTCTTAAGGACTACCTCAAATACAAATGTTTATGTCTTGCAGAATTAGTAGAACAGACAGACAGGGACTATTTCTCTTACACAACCCAGGAATCCATGAGGCTTCAAAATGTAACAGCTGGGAAAATTCAATTACAACAATTTAAAAAAAAAATTAAATACAACTGAGCACAGAATATTACACTTCATTTGCAAGTTATAACCTGGCCTTGTGAGACCCAAATAGATGCTTATTTTAATACACAGCAGACAGCCATATATCTCTTATGGTAGATATGTAGTACACATGGATGTCTGGTACACATCTTCTAACAGAACTATCGTGAATATATCTTATTCTACAGTAATTCCTTGCTTATATACATCCAGCTTCCACATTTACTGAAAGTTTAAAAATCTACCTGGAGCCAACAGAATGAACAATGCTTAATAGTGAACATCTGCAGAAGTCCTTGAAGGACTCAGGCTTTAGTTTTTAATAAAGCCAGCTGAGACCAAGCAAAGTTGTAGCAAGTATTTCTAACTAGCTACATCACACTGAGAAAGTCACAAGAGAACTTATGTGAATAAAGCTATGTCTCAGCCTTTTACTAAAAGATGACAGATAAAACAAGAACTCTCACCTTGGAAGAATTGTTTTATACCTGAAAATAATTACGGGTTTGGCCACTGTTTCAAAAAACAATTATATCAAAAACTTACATTTGAACAACAGATTTAAGATTTGGTCCAGAAAAGCATACTTCATAGTATTACCACCATAACAAACAAAGCTCCTTACCTCACCTCCCGCCAATAATATTTGAGAGCACCTATTTCAAACTTCAGGATAGGACTAATGATCCACCATTAGATTTTGTTTTGTCTCTCTCTGAACCACTAACAATTAAGAAAATGGTATTCCAGCCAGCTACATATTAATTTCATCACCATTTACTCTCCAGCCACATTTTCCTGGGCTTGCTTATAAACCTCATACAAGAACATGCCAAAAGCTGGGCTTTTGAGAGATGGCATGATAGATGTGACATGACAGCACACCAAGATGGATGATTCTCCTCTATTCACAAGGTATGTTATCCTGTCAAAGAAGGAAATTAGGATGACCTAATGTAATTTTTCTTGACTAAATCACCAGTAACCATTACTCACTACTTCATTGTCTTCTAGATTGTTCGGAACAGCTTGGTTATTCAGTTCTCAAGGAAAGACTGTAATTTAAGCAAAGTCTGGAAGCAGATCTTCTTTTTTTCCCTACTGATAACTGACAATTGCTACATTTGTTTTTTCACTGTCCTTCTAAAACATCATACATTCATCATGGCCTCTCAAAAATAATCACTAACTCCCAGACTACTTCACAGAGTACCAAGTAATGTGACTGCTGATAATCCTATATACTGAGGTCAATGTGAGGAGAACTACAGGGCCACTAACAGTCATAAACAAAACAGCTTTTTAATGCAAAATAGCATGGGAACCAAAGTTATTAGAAGACAAAGTTCTAAAAGGTATTTCACAGTGCAGGGACTGAAGTACTGTCCATATTATTCTTCATTCACTAAAGTGAGGTACCTATCAAATATTGACTGTCAATATTTGATTTGATATAGTGGTGCAAGTTTTATTAACACATATCCCCCCAAAAGATGGTATTACATACTCATACCTATGGCTCCATAGGTAAAGTTGAGTCCAGGTTCTTCCTGAGTCAAAACATTAAATGCTGAAAATTCAGATAGCAAAAGCTAACCTTTGTTTACCTTCCAGTAGTTAAAATGTAAAGGTCACCATGCCCATCTAATTTGTTATAATTTCACACAGTATTCAAAAGCACGTACAAGACACACATGTCCCCATATCTGTAAAAACAGTGTGGGGGGAAAATGTGTGTGTATGAGTGAAGTATGTGTAAATGCATAAACCCTTACATACTGTAATAATACAAAATTTAAGTGAAAGTAAGGAAATTAAAGTGGTACCTGTCATTGCTCATGCATACCAGAGCAGAAATCTTACAGAAGACATGGTTGTTTTGGTCAAAGGAAACAACAAAGCAAAAACAGACAACTGAGATGCCAATTATGGTTTTCTTCCTAACTGTGAAAGAGGTTTAATTGATACCTGCCACAGTCCTTGGTTTTATGCCTGGTAATACATGTGGAATACAATAACAGGATCAAAGTCTGAAGAAAAAAAATGCCACAACAAAACTTTTCTATTATAAATAATTATAGTTACAAAAGACTGGAAAGTGATAAATACATTGCTGACATTTAAAAATATAGTGAAATTACAGGTGGCAATATGAAGTTTCATACCAACTAAAACCTTTTAGAGCTGTACCTGGCAAGTTAGCTCAAGTAGCAACCATTACAATACAATAGATGGAAGATTATAAGATCTAGCCACCATCTAGCTTTCTCAGAAGATAAAGCTGTATCTCACTAGTCTCTGGACCATATATTAGGCAATGATAAAGCAGCAGATACAGAAGAAAATGTTTACTATTTTGATATGCAAAAGGCTTTCATTAAGGTCCCTGGGAGTCTACAAAAAAGCTAAATAATCTTTAGGGGAGGAAAAAAACCCAAACACCAAGAACTGGTTGGTAATATAAAACAGCCTGATATATCACTCACCATCACAACAAAAGATCGGAAGCAGAATATCCTCCAGTTCAGAGTAAGTTTTATTACTTACTTGCCCCTTTCAAAATTTTTAAGAGTTAAATATTAAAATCTTCAGATGACAAAGAAATGCTAAAAGGATCCTCTGAATAATTCAAATAAAGGAACACGATAGAGGTGCTCAGTCAAATTTTGATAAACAAAGAATAAAACTTACAACACACTTTACATAAACCTAACCAGCCACATAAATTTACCAACAGCAAGATATAACCCCTCCCTGCTCAAGATGCATTATTTTAAAAGAAAAGAAATAAATTTTTTTTACACAACCTGCAATATTCCTTGTGTACTCCAAAACCACAACATTTTTCTCAGTCAAAGGGGTGTCTGTCATCTTTTAGAATACATTGGAACTCTGGTTATCCAAGAAAAGGGAATAGAACTCATCAGCATACAGATAAAGGTTATTGGACTGACTAAGCAAAAGGAGAAACCTCATATAATATAAAATTAAAATAAGTATAGGATTGTTTACATTATTATATGAATGCATTGTAGCAAATACATCAGACAATCAAACAGTGCCTGTGAGGTGAACTGCTGTGCCCTGCTGCTGCATGCATTCTTGTCCACCTAAGCTTTGAAAGCACCTTTGTTCAAACTTCAAAATCTTAAAGGTCAGAATTAGACCTAAAGGGACAAAGGTTGTAGAAATAACCTTCTAATTTTATCACTTTAGAGTTCTTCCACCATTGCATTCAACACTTGGCAACTGGATACTGCTGGAAGGCTGCATATAGGACTAAGATTTTGGTATGGATTAATTACAGCAAATTTCTAGGCTTCTAGCTCACTTAACAGCCTATTTCCGATTTTCAAAAATAACTTCTACCTCAGAGTAATTTGCTTATAGGGAACAGAACTACAGTTCTATACAGTTAGGAACTTCTGAGTTTTGCTAAAAATTACTCCCAAAAGATTTACTCTCTTAAATGTTCAATAGTATTTCTTTATGTAAAAAATTTCCACACCAAGAGTTTCAAGGACGGACTGAATTGTTGGTTTGTGTTTGTTTCGTTTTTTTTACTGGAGGAAAGGGCAGAACACAAATATCCTTTAAAACTGAGTATAAGGCAAAGCTCTGATGATTTTTTTCCTTTTTCCACATCACTAATAGGTATTCTGGTTCTAAAAAACAAATGAAGTCCCACAAATATTTCTATAACCCTTTTAAATGACACTCAAGATTCCATGTGTGAATTCAGCTAAACAGTAACAACAGGTATTTAAGAACTAAGTTAAAGTGTGTATCAATCCAAGTGTTTTTATGTAAGAAAGAAGATAATCCAATTCTTACACCTCAGATGTCTGTTAAGAATGTGACTTTTTTTTCCAGTCATTTTTCAGAGCAGGATTGCAACATAAATCTATTCACACTTCATTTTCCTTCTTTGCTTTTCTTTCTCCAACTCTGGCTATATTTGGGATTACTCTTCCCTCTTGTCCCTCCAGCTTCATCTAGATTTTGTACATCGTTTTTCTTATTCCATTCCTTTTTCCAACTATTAACAGTAACATAGGTAGCTTGTTTTTTCCTAGGTAGCAGATTTTGTTCAAACACCTCAAGAGAGTGCTATTTTCATTTGAATGTTTTCTTAAAGTGAATCCTGTATTTTCTCCATGGCAAAAAAAAATGTTAAGGGTTAAATTGGATTGTTTTATTTGTAGTGATGTGTATCTTTTGTCTGTCTTGCAGAACATAACAAATGAGGAATGAGATTTGATTGGTTTCTGTTAATCTACAGAGAAAAACTTATCACACCTTCTTATCACTCTTAAACATGCACATGATAAATAAAAAGAACACTTTAAAAAATCTGATCATTAAAGAATTGGCCAATTAATGTAGTCCACATAAGTATTAACTGAATGTTGTGAACTGCAAGGATAATGAAAAAATAAACATCTAAATATTCATCTGACATCCTATATGAACAACAAATCAAAATTATTAACTCCTTCAAAACACACCATAAAACATGCTGATAAGATTTATACGTAAAGCCCAGTATTATAAAAATTATAACAACATATATAGAGCCTAAATTATAATAATTTGTAAATGCATATCAGATTGTACAGTCTGCCATTATACCTAATGATCTATATATTCCTTTTTTTCAGGTATCCCATTTAATTGCTATCTAGAGTGTTATATCAAATTCTAAACTAGTGAAACAAATCTTAAAAGTGCAGAGGCAACAGAAAAGCAATATTCTAAGAGCATGTTTGTATAAATACACTCCTTTCTAAACTGCCTTTAATGTGAAAGTTTCACCTCTAATGGGAAAAATGTATTGCTCAGCGGAGAAACAGAAGAAAGAACTCTTAACACGTGTGTTCTACCAACACATTTAAAAAATAAAAAATAGCCAGCTGTATTTTACCTGTTGTCATGGTATCTGTGGGGATGATGCTGTAAAACATCTTGCAGGAAACGCTCCATCAGGCTACTGGTACCCATACGATTCCTACAGTAAGTGGTAAAATGCCTATGCTGGGAGCTGAAAACATGCTGGTGAAAGATAAAACAGATGACTAATTTAATACTGCTGTTAACACACTGGCCTGGTTAAAAAAAATAAGTTATCAGGTTAAACATCACACTGGTGCTACAAAAAGATTTAAATAAAATTTTTCAGGCTTTTCTACTTTAAGGTCTTGATTCAATGAAATTTTAAAGCATGTTTAGGGAATCTCAAATAATACTAAAATGTGCTGAAGCAGCTTTCTAAGCTGGAACCTAAATTAGCAGCTCTGACAGCTGCTCACAAATCTCTTGTAACTAGTATAAATACCCTAAATGCATCTATATATTACTATTAAAATATTATTCAACTTAATACGAGTAAACATCCCGTAATTCACTCGAATTAAGGAGAATTTTCATAAGCATAGAAAATTAAATAGGCTTCTACTTTCTAAAGTCTAAAAGACCAGAGGCTGTATTAGAGAACAGAAAAGGAAGCAGTTGATTAAATGTCTTCAGCCTTGATACCTAATCCTAATAAAGTATTAACCCTAATACTTTACAATATCTACAGACCTCACTATTAGAGCCACAGAAATAAACCTATTTGATGCAATGCACAGGGGTGTGCCACCTCAGAAAAGCAGACTGCAGTAGCCATGCCACTCCACCCTCATCTTTTTCACAGGAATGGATAAGAAGGGTATCTTCTTCTCAGTGCATAGACTGTACAATTAATAAATTTATTGTTTTTCATTCAGTATTGGTTATTCAGTGAGACTGATATTTTATAAGCTGATAAAGCCTTTTGGTACGCCTTGCTTTTTGTTGCTGAATTATGTAGAAGCCTTCTCACCTGTTCCAGATTACTGTAGTGTACGTGGCAACAGTTGCAGTATCCTTGTCTGTTTTGCACAGTAGATAGTCTAGGCTGAGGATGTTCTTGCCCTCTTGTGTGTAAACTGAAAGAAACAGGCAATATTACCAAGGAAAAAAATGAGAGATGTTGCATTGTTTAATTCATGTACTCAATGTGGAAATGCTAAATACTATTGTACTATAGAGCTGGAACAAACTTGCAAGATGAATGCTTGTATTTCAGAATTGTAATGTCAAGTAGGACTACATACTGAAAGGTATTCCCAAGCACATGTCACTAAAGAAAAATTTTCTGAAATGCAGAATAAAGGATAACAGGTTGAAGGCACAGCTAACACAAATGTTAACTTGAGTTGGCTGAAATTGGAAGAGAACTGTCTCTCCAGAAAAAGGCAGAGTTCATACTTTCATTCTTCTGGGGTTTTTTTTAGAATTTTGAAACTTGAAAAAAAAAAATAGAGCAAAGACAAAGAAATCTTGACACCCACACATTAGTTTTGGGCGCTACAATGCACATTCCCACAGTTTTTAATAGTATGTGGGTAGAAAATAAGAAGGACCTCCATTACACGTAACGTTAAAAAACAGATTGTTCCTGGTTTACTTTGTGAAAGAATTAAACTAGATGCCATTTAAATCAACTAACTTACCTGCTGCTGCTGTCCTGTTGCATAGAGCCTTCAATACCATGTCTTTCAATTCCTATAGAAAACAAAACAAAACCCCAAAACAGAGTATCACAGAAATGGAATAGAGTTACCTGCAATTAGTTACTTGTCTTACATTGCATTTATCAAAACTAATACTTTAAAGGAAGACTAAAAGCTCAGTAAGTTCAAGAAAGCATGTATAGTGAAATCCTTTTTTTCATCCAAGTTCCTCTAAGAGCTTCATAAAATAAACTTTACTCCTTCATGGCTGAGGTAAGTGGAATTTTTCTACTGATTTCTCTGGGATCAAGACTAGGGAGTCTACATTTATACTGCTACATTCATGACCACCAAGACAAAATGCAGTATGTCTTACACAGCTTATTGTAGGACCAGAAAAATACATATACATGGAACCTCTGTGAATGATTCAGAAATAATTTATTCAATGTAAGTTCCATAATGAAATTTGGAAAATCGAAGTACGCAATTGAAACTTCAAGGTGAACTAACACTTCCACTGTTAACTATTACATAAAAAAATAATAATTGCAACAAAAACATCTACTTTAAACTTCTCACCTTGTGAAGAAGCAGAAGTTTCATCAGATGGTTTGATTCTGTCAAACATCTGTAAGTAAAAAATAACTGAGAATAAAAAACTTCAAATAACACACATTAAAGCCCATACTCAAGTTCATCCTTCAGTCCAAGCTCTAAGCTGTTCAGAAGCACTACATTGTTTCAGGTATAGACCAAGACTTGACTTAAATAAAGTTGCATTGTAAAAATAAATAAATTTCTGCTTTACTAAGTTACCCTAATACTATATTTAACAATGCATGCTAGCTTTGATAGAAGGAACTGATTTCTGATCTAATTAATAAAGTCAAATACTGTACTTACAAATAGAGCTTAAGATTTTTGTAAGGTATTAAGCAATAACCTTGTCAAATTCATTTAATTACTTAATTTCCTAAGTTACCTTTAAAAGACAGATGAAAGATGTATCCTAATAAAGACCATACAAGACTTAGCCCACAGAAAACAATTACCCAGGCTGAAAAGTAATCCTTATTGATAAAAAGACCTGCAAACCAACACTGAATCCCATAATTTTTAATTAAAATATGACTGCAACAAAATGCAGTCACATGCTTTATGGTTCTCAAATACAAAGAGCTTCCAAGTTTCACACAGTCCTTTTACATTATGGAATCCAAGCATAAAATCAACTTCCTAGTACAAACCTTAGAGTTGTCAACGTTCTTCATCCACCAAAGCTGAGTCCAGATCAGCAAGCAATAAACAGGGAACACAAGGCCATTTGCAGTGCAGGACACTTATATTTTCTCATCCCATCTGGCAACAGAGAAGTTAAAGAGTCTTTTAAAATAGAGTTAATAATGCATGTTTTTCCATGCCCTAAGGCACATGATTTTTTCTGTACCACTCTGCAAACACATCCCTTAATAAAACGAATAAATATATTTTTTAAGTCTGCAGTACATCTTTTTTATTACTGAAGTTATTTTGACAATCTTTCCTACATAAATGTTAACCATTCCTTCTGGAATAATTTTGTTCCTTCTTGCTTCTTCATAGTGCCTGTATGTTAAATATTGTTGTCATTTTGGATGCTAGCACTCATGAAATTAAGTACATTTCTTCAATAACAGAAAACAAATTCCTCAGTACTAACCAAACTGAATTTAATCTATTTTGAGCATTAACCTGGTCAGAAAAAAACAATGTTTTGTTTTGCTTATGTTATAGAAACTACTTTGGTATTGCAATAGTACATTAAGTATGTGTGTGTATATATATATACTTAAGATAAAGCTACAAATGCGGAACATAAAAGAGTGTAGAAACCACAGACAAGGAAGGCTACCTCACTGAAAGGGCTGTCAGTCAGCTGGGACACAACCTCTCACCCCTATTCACTGCCCCAAAACTGGATTAAAGCACCTTCACGTACAAATATCTGAGATGCTAGGCAGTGGCAACTGCAACATGTTGGAGGAAAACTACTACAGTTAATTGGAATCATTTCAACAGTGCACTACTGAAAGTTCACTCAGCTTCAAGTAAAATTCTGCAAGTTATATCCCTAGCTTGAGACACACACTCGTGGACATTTAAATTGAGCTAGGAGCGCAGTCACTTTAAATAGCACGTATATGAGGAAAACCATACTGAAATTACTCCAGTCTAGATCGCCTCACCATCCTACAGTTCAAGAAGATTTGATAGATCAGATCTTCTCACTGGAGGAAGGGTGTGTTAGGTAAAACTTGTAGAAGCCTGGCTATTGTTCAGTAACTGACAAAAAAGCCCTGACACCTGAGTAATATCTCTCAAAGACACGTACAAAGCTGACAGGAGAGGAAAACCTATACGTACAAGATTTAGCTTAAACATTTTACCACCCAAAAATCCTGTAAATTCTAACAAATATAAAAGCAACTGGCTACATACAGAAATGTTTGATGTGGTATATTTTTAACCAGGCTACTTTAGCCATCCCTTAACACAAATTCTTCTTTTCCGTTTTATCAAATTACTTTGTGTACAGCAGCCATAGGATGGAAAAGCCTCAGACACACCCACTGAACAAAAGAAACCCATAAAGAGGCAACCAAAAGGTATGAAACGTACACATATATTTTAAAAGAATAAAACAAACAAAAAAATAAATCAGTGGTGCATTTGGGCAGTATACAGAAGTGCCAAAGGCATCGAAGAAGCTCTCCAGATAGTGTCACCCTCGCACTGCAACAAAACATAAGCCAAAAGGGGCAGGAGGGCTAATTAAAACTGCTCCAAAAGCACGTCACGAAACCTCTACCGCCCCTTCACCTAAGAAAGTCCGTGTTGGGTAGACAGAACAACAAGAGGGAAAACTGCCTTTAACACAGGTATTTGCCTTCCAACGGCATCAGCACAAGCAGGGAGGAGGTTTCAGGAGCTGCTTTTCCCCATCCCCGCGCAGCCCCCGCTCGGGCTCCGGGCCCCGTCCCTGTTGCGCCGTGACCCGCCGAGCGCCGTGTCCGCGCTTGCCCCCGTGCC